AACGGCCGACTGCCCGCGGTCGACGGCGTTCCGGACACCGTGCAAATCCCGCGGGAAATGGTATGCGACCCCGCCGATTTAATCGATTTCGTGTATCCGCAGCAAATGTCGTTGGCCAACGTCGAAGAATTTGCTCGGAGAGTCGTCGTGTGTCCCACCAACGAAGAGTGTAGGAGTGTCAACGGCGACGTGCTGGAGCGCGTCGATGGTGAAGAGATGACCTACACCGGCGTCGACACCATGATGGCGGACGAGGCCGACGAAGTGGCCAATTTCCCCACAGAGTTCCTCAACGGTTTGGAACCGGACGGCCTGCCGCCGTTCCGGCTGACGTTGAAGGTGGGGTGCATCGTGATGTTGCTCAGAAATCTCGATCCGAGGAGACGACTGTGCAACGGTACGAGGTTGGTGGTCACCCAACTGCGACGTCACAATTTCAAGGCGAGAATTTTGGGCGGCGACCCACAGGACGACGACATCGTCCTGCCCAAGATACCGCTCACGTCCAGTAGCGAGGACGACCTGCCCATCTCACTGCGACGCCTTCAATTCCCGGTGAGGTTATCGTTCGCCATGACCATCAACAAGTCGCAGGGTCAGACGTTCGACAGGGTAGGTTTGCTACTGACGTCGCCCCCGTTCACTCACGGCCAGCTGTACGTGGCGTTTTCGAGGGTGAGAAACGCACAGTCCGTGAGAGTCGGCATGTACGCCGATGACAGCGGGCGATTCGTCACCAAGAACGTCGTGTACAGGGAAGTTCTGTGATGCAATAGGTAAGTGGTAAGTATATTCTAGGTGACTTCCGACGATCGAGTCTAGATGATGGTGATAGTCTGGTTGACTTTAAACCTGACATGTGTAACATATTTTTCAAACATAATACGTTACACCGCTGTTATACTGGTCTGTGTACTACATGCGCCCGATGATCAGAGATGACGATGATAGTCTAGGCGACTTTAAACCTAACATGTGTAACAGTTTTTTCAAACTTAATACGTTACACCGCTGTTCTACGTGGTCTGTGTTCTACATGCGCCCTATGATCAAAGATGACGATGATAGTCTAGGCGACTTTAAACCTAACATGTGTAACAGTTTTTTCAAACTTAATACGTTACACCGCTGTTCTACGTGGTCTGTGTGGAGGTGCTTCGTGGGCCTTGCCTTCGGGCTAAACGGAGAGAAAGTTTGACAACCTCCTCGTGGTTCTCTCTGGATGCGAATTCACTATAATGTGAATCCGTAACTGATGTCAAACAATGTATGTAATGTCTGTGTTATTTGTCTTGTACCATATACTATTGAATATAGTATGATAATATAGTACAGATACTACAGACAATTTATTGTAAATGTTGTATTTTATTTGTAATGGAACATTTTCTCCTATATTATATGATGTAAATAACATTTACTTTGTTTTATTACTATTGTAAATTACAATAATTGACATTGTATTAATTTTTAGTATTAATTAATTTATATTGTGTTAATGGTTGACATTTTAGTTAATCTTATTACTATTATATTACTACTGTTTGTATAATATATACTTATATTGTTATAAAATATGTAAATTTGATACAATTTCACATATTATAATTATTATATGTATATAATTTTCCATAGTTGACATTTTATTAATTGTTTTACTCACTAAAAGAGTATTTGGTTTTTTGTTAAACACCATTTAATAGTTGTATTTCTTTCTTCTTTATTTTATCTAATAATAAATATTATTAACATTAATAATATGTTTTGTACACTAAACCACCATGAACCGCTGTTAATTAATGTAAACTGTATAAATGATTGATTAATTACTTTATTCTATTTGCATTGTATTATGTTATTTATATGTAAATTTCACTGTACTCACAATATTAATAATATTGTGTACACCCCTGAACTGTTGTATTGTATTAATGGTCGAGATTTGAGTTAATTGTATTACTATTATTATAAATGTAAATTTTATACAATTTCACGTATAATTATTGTATACATGATTTTCATATTTTTATTAATTGTTTAACACACTAATAGAGAATTAGTTTTAATGATTGACATTTTATTACTATTACTAATATATTACTACTACTGTGACCGTATATACTATTATAAATGTAATTATTGCAATATTTATATAATTTACATTTATATAATTATATGTTTTACTCGGCAAAAGAGTATTTGTTTTGTTTTAAGCACTATTAATTAATAATTGTATTTCTTTCTATGCGATTCTTTCAGTTGATTTATATTGTGATTTGTATTCAATTATTAGATTATTGCTGCTGTGTATATAAATTGCAGTTCATTAAATTAAATATATATTAACATTGACAATATTTGTTTTGTATATCATAATAATAAATAATTTGGAAAACATACATTTTGTAACAATTCATTTAAAATACACACATTTCTTGGGACTGGGAATCGATCCCCTCAAAAAGAGTGAATTAATTAATTAAATACTTTGTTTTATAAGCACAACATTTTTGTCCTATTCGGTTCATAAGTATAACATAACCTAACTATAATAGAATGAAAAAATATGAACTAATAACAATGCATACTATATAAATGAGAAGATAATGCGTATGATGTTATTTACATTTATTTCTACTTAGTTTTATTTGATAACGATAATATATATAACATCATGTGATGTGCAACTGTGTGCTACTACCTACTACATTGCTGATAGTAGTGATACAAAATATAATAATATTATTATTCACTTTTTTATGCTAAACGTTTAACCACCATTCAATAGTTGTACATATTATAGTAACTTAGTAGACTGTTCATTTATTTATTTTAGTAGAGTAATGCCACTGTACAAATTATAATATTATTGGTATTTTTATGTCTGACGTTTGAACAATATTTACACATGAAATTAAATTATTGATATTTTCAAAATGTATTCAATTGAGGTTGTACCTATTTGTTTTACTCATTGTAGTTATGAAATATTTTAATTTCAATAACAATACAATATACTAATTAATGACATCTTACTGATGGTGTATTTGTTACATGCAAATCTTTATATATCCCATGCAATACCTTAGGTCACTGACATTCTTAGAACCTTTATTTCTGATTGTTGTGTTGTAATAGTATGAACTATATGCATTGGTAACTAATAGCAATTTACACATAATATTAATATAAAAAAGTTGAAAAGGAAAAGAAATTAAATAAAGTCATGATGTAAAAAATCTTTATTGATTATCTGAAAAAACAAAACAAATAAAAATAGCAAATTTTTTGTTGAGAAAAGATGTTCCTGTTAAAAACTTACTGCTGTCTGCTATCAGCGCCTGAAAAAAATAGGTTTCATTAGAATCATCAATATCAAAAACTCAAGTATCTATATAATATACCAAGGGGTGGCCATATCATTCTAAAAGTGAAGCGAAAACGGGGTACTTGCAGTGCAACCATCATATGGAAAATAAATTGTTGTAAATATACTAACACATTATTTTATTTGGAATAATAAAAATTAATTTTAAAATAAGAAGAACAAATTTTACAAATGATGATTTTAGGCTAGACTCGCGTTACTTACAATTTTACAAAATTTAAAATACAGTTAAAAATTATAATTATAATTAAAATTATAATTTTTAATGCTAATCAAACATTAATCATTTATTATCAGTTATCACCATAGACCATAGAGTAATAAAATATAATGTCGATTATCTATTTAATTTCATGGTCGAAAACGCTATCTAGTGTTCACTAGAGTTGTAAGAGGGGTACAATGGCGTTCAATTTTGCTTCGATCTGATAATCATAATATCTGCCTAATGCCGCCTCTATAGTTTTATTACTCTATGTAATATACTTACATCGTTGCACGGCGGCGGCGTACGACGGCGGCGTACGACGGCGGCGTACGACGGCGGCGTACGACGGCGGCGTAACGAAATACCAACAATATTGCTATAATAAATTAAACGATTATTTGTATTAGATTCTTGAGAAAATATTGTCAAAACCAAATACCAATAATATTTTCATTATATTTTTATAGAACACTACCAAAACTTAGTAGAAGTAATGTTGCTAAAAATGTATTCACATACAAAAAAATATCATACATATAGGGAATAATCAAACCTTATATCCAACAAAAACAAAAAGCTGTTTTTACACTGTTTTATTACAATATTGTACATGAACATATAAAAGAGAATTATGAATAAATATTGAATATAATATATAAGTTTATGAGAAAATACATAGCACCACATAACAATTTATGATAACTATTAAATGATAATATTATAAAACATTATAATACAAATGGCAAACATTTAGTAGATACAAAATAAAAATACATAAAAAACCCTAATTTTTTAAAAAAAGAAATACTTAGAAAATTATTTATATTATTCTTGTAATTATATAATAAATAAAAGTAGGTTAAACTGCATTAACACACAGTATATACGTACACGATATAATAAAATATTTTAAATCATATAGTATTAATAAAAGCATAAAAGAAAATTAATATTGAATATATGTGTATATAGATACATAATCAATACAATAAAAATGGCCAACTGTAGAATTTACAAAATATAAATACAAAAAAATTAAATTAGGAAAAAATAGTACTTAGAAAATGTTTTATATTATTCAAGTAATAATATGAATAATAAAAATTAAATTATAATATTTTTAAATAGTTAATTATGTAAAACTGCATATAACACACATTAAAAGTATGCAATATAATAATAATTAATAATATTTATAATATAGTCCTATTATTATATAATAATCACAATATTATATAAATTATACAAAATTAATTTTGTTATTTTCAAAAAAAAAAAAGAATGAAATATACTTAGTACACATGAAAAAACATTTAAAATAATTGAAAATTTACCCACTTAATGATAATAACACACATTTATTAAAAGAAAAAATTTTGATCATAATTAATAGTGATTTGATTTTTAAGATTTATCACTAATAGAACTTTTCTCCATGGTCTTTTTTATGCGAGCTGATGATTGAGCCATCCAATTTTTCAACGGTTTTTCTATTTCAATATCACTAACATCTTTATATTGTCTCATTTTTCTTATGGATTCTAATACAATAAATGAGTATAACACTTATTAGTACATGATAATATTATTATTGTATATTATGACATATTATGTTATAACTAAATAATATAGTAAATATTTCAATGCATAAATAATTAATACTGAACAATAGAGCAATTAGAAATGTGATAATAATTCAGTAAATTTTAATATTTTGAAATTTAAATTTAACATTTAAGTTACTAACAATACAATTATTAGAGTATATTTTATTTAACTTAGTCATATGGATTTTAATTTTATAAAAAACTAATGATAATATACCTAATTAAATTGGTATTATTATATAATACATACATGTATTATACAATTATACTTTGAATAAAATATAATTCATTTTTGTTAATGTGAGCTATAAATATAGTATTAAATGTTAATTAGAGTTAATTATTGACCTATTATCAAAGTTGAAGATAAATTTTTTCTGTTATATTGTACATTTTTTTATTTTTAAATAAAATAATTTTTGTATGTATTATCATTACTATTATTTTTAATGCTATATAAATGCTATACTATTATTTACCAAAAATAACTCTACATGTTTGAAGAGTTGAAAACTGCTTTTTTCCTTTGAACCCAATATAAGAATAATTTGCCAAGAAGTTGTCGGTAAATAGTTTTTGCATGATTTTCCGCACAGTTTCAGACATACTTGAACCAGTGAGACGAGACAATTCTAAAACCTGTTACATATTTAATTTTTACCAAGTCACTCATATATGATATTTAATTTTTTCTTTTATCACCACTTTGTTTCTGAATGTATGTTCCTTGGTAAGTTTATCTTCCACAATATCTAAATCAGCGTCATTATTGATGTGTAACATATTATCATCTGCAGTATTATCAAAACTACCATCAAAATTTAATGCTTCAGATACTTGGATATTATTCAATTTATCCAATATTTGTTGTTGTACCGCAAATAAATTATCAATACTTTCTTGAATGTTTTTCAAATCGTGTTTCATAACAATGATATTTCTATTTATGGATTTTTGAAAAGCTATATTTCCTGTATAATACACAAAAATATTACTTCATATACAAAAAACATCATGGCACACAATTTGTATCTTACCATCATCTCTACGATCACCAGAATTATTTGGAGTTAAAGTCTGAGTACGTAGCTGTACGTTATTTTCTGAATCCAATAAATTATCGTTTACAGAAACTTCATAAGATTCAGAATCAATGGATATATCAAATAGATTGCTTTTTGATGAAGTATTTGTTTTTTTTGGAATATGTGATTCAGGTCTAACACTGTCCACAGTTGTTTGCATATCCCGTGAATTTGATGCGTTTTGCAATTGCGATAAATTTGAATCAAATAATATTTCTTTGTGTCCTTCAAATGACTTATTATTAGATATAAAATTATTTACTGTTGTTCCTGAAACATCTTTTAGTAAAACTTTAAATTATAATAATAATATCACAAATAGTAATAAATAGGTAGGACTAGCTTGCGTAGGATTATAATTTTTAACTAACTAATCGACAACTAACACACCTACTAAAATTGGGTAAAAAGAACTATCTCATCTATCATATCTATATGACTAACCCTATGGAGGTATAACATATAATTGTATACATTTTTATAGTATAGTATACTTTCTCTCACCTTCAAAATCGTCTAATGTTGGAGGAGATAAAACATCAGATGTATGATTATTACTAGATTCTAATACTGCTTCAGATGAATAGTATACTTTTTTTCTTTTTTTTCTGGTTTCTTTGTCGTCTTCATTCGAAGAAAGCTCAGATGTATCTTGCGCTTTCAGAGATTTTAAACGAGCTTGATGGAAACTCTCTAGTAATATAATTTTAAATATATGAGCACTGACATAAAAACTTTCTCTATTAGGTACATATAGGTATATTAGCTAATAATTTAATAAACCTTGCCATGGTATATTATTTATTATATTAGGTACCTATATTATATTTATTATTGTTGTACTTATTAAAAATCAAAACTTACGTATATTTTGTTGAAGAGGACGGGCATCATAATAATCAAAATCTTCTTTGTTTGGTTGAATACGTGTTTCTATAAACTTCTTTTGGTTACATTTTTTTTTGGGCCATGCACATGTACCTTTGTGATACCATGTATCAGGTACAACATCTACACTATTGTCCACAGTGAAACAGACAATAGTCCACATAATTCTAAAAAGATTAAATATTTTGTATTAAAATACTAAAATATTAACTTTAATTTATTGGTATTGGTATAAATACTTGTTATATTTAAGCTACCTATTTTTGTTTTACTAATCATATAATCATATGAATAGTAAAACAGATACAATAATGAATATTTATTATTGTATCTGTATATATTTAATATATAGAGAGCTAAGTATAATATAATTTAAGTTTTAGTTAAACTATCTATCTATTATTATTATTATTCATAATGTTAATAACAATACAAGTTTAAAACATAAATTAACAAAAAATACATAGAGGACAACTTTTTACTTCATACTCACTATATTAATTAAGAATGAATAATTGGTATAGCCGTAACTAAACCCTCAAAATGAAAAATCATCATTTTCATTTTAATATCAGAAAAATCCCATTTATATACATTTTGAGAAAGATTATTTACGTTATAAATGTTTAGCTTTGATGATTTTACAGGGCTAACAAACATTTCTTCCTGATTTAAAAATATTTTTCCAATAAAGATTTTATTATTGGAAGTCATTGGTGATACAATTTCAGTTATTTTTACTATTTCACCACTTTGAGTTGAAAAATAACAATTTGGCTCTTTGGTAGTAAATTTAACTTTTTTGATATCACTATTATGCTCTATGTTTCCACTTTTACATTTTTCTTCATAACGTCGAACAACTTGTTGTAAAGGTTTTTCATTTTTACGGAGCATATTTTTTAAATCCTTCATATAATTTTCAAAAGGGATCGCACTACAACAATCGAGTGGCCCAAATCTAATATAATCATCAGGTAAATGAATTAGACTATGAAAATTGTATGACATAAACTGACTTCCATAGATCTGTTCAAAAGATTTAACAAAATAAACAAGAAGTTTGCGAGCATACTCAACATATTGCTTATAGTTGGGGCTTAAAAGTATTCTCATTGAAATACTTAAGGCCATAAAATTTTCATAACAGTCACTAGATAAGATGTTTTTTAAAACTACTGGTCCTGTGTACAACAAAAACTGACGGAATTCAGTTGCCTTCCAACGAGCTACATCTTCTATAGCCCTTGGTTTTCGTGGAAAATCATTAGTTACAAAAGTTTTTAGTGTCAAAAGAGAATTTGTAATTTTTCTAATTTTCCAACTAGGCAACCGAACAGTCTTTGGTCCCTTATTTTGCCAAAGAATAATTAATTTTCGCACAACTCCCAAGCAAACTAAGTGCATATAATCTAAAGAGAATATATTTACTATATCAAGGTCAGGGAGTACAACAAGGGATCAAATTATTGAAGATGTATGATGTTCTTCATCTTTCATAGTTATGTAATCATAATGAGTTCTTTTTCCACAGTTATCAATAAATGGAAAGCAGACACGATTTTCTAAATAGTCTCCTTCAATAACACACCTTGAACATGAAAAATAACCGGAATGTCCCTTAATTCTCATCAAAAACGATCTGGCCAGCGCATCACAGCAAATTGCTTTTATAATTACTTTTTTAGTAATATTATCAATCACTATTCCGTGGGTTGATAGCCTAAGCATTTCTGCAACAAAATCTTTGATAAATATGTTACTATCTAGAGGTTTTTCGTGGCCATAGTATATTCCAATAGGAAAAACATTTTTATTATAAGGAAAAATATAGGCCAGAATTGGCCAAAATTGGCTTGAACTACTCTTGCTTAAAGGTAGACCATCAATTCCAATTACAATACTTATAATATCATCCAAAGAAAATATTTTAGAATACATATCAATACCAGTTTCTAACCCAAAATGATAATATATGCCATTCGGCTCTATTTCTCGAATATTAAAAACTTTGGTTGATCCAGATTGAAGTAATGTACGGCTATCAACAGGAAGAAAATTAAGATTGGCATCATTTTTCAAGATTTTTAATAATGCATTAGAGGCATTATGTGGAACATTGAAATTTACCATCCATGCTTTTAATTTGTTTTTAATATTTTCACTGTATACTGAACTTTTTGTAAGAGGAATTAATATTGAATTTGAATCTGCATCACCTTGAGTACAAATTACATTACTTAAAATATCTTGATTTAAATTATTATCACATGTTTTATAGAGAGGTGTATTTTTAATATTATTTCTATGTTCAGGTGCCCCACATATAGAAGTATAAATACATTTATTGATACAATCGTTATTAATATTTTGTGGAGATAATACAGTTTCTTTGACAAAACAACTATCTGGGATTTCACTTGTAGACGACCATTCTAGAATTTGCAATTCTTTTTGCAATCGTCTATGTTTTGTTCTATAACTAGTAGTTTTAATCATTTTTAAATTTATAACTGAACAATTTTAATTTTTTTATTATTTAGTTTGTTTGTAAATAACTGTATTTATTAAGTCTATAATGCTATTAGTTAGCAGTATGAATAATATCTGAAAAATAAAAATTGAAATAGTTGGTATAGATAGGTATAGATGATATAAAATACTAAGTTGAAAGCGTATAATAATTATTATTTGCATACAGAAAAGTAGGTATAATACTAGTTTAAAATAAAAAAACAAATGTTAATGTATTTGTTCTAGAAATAATTATATTACCCGGTAAAAATTACCAGTATACAAATACCTCACTTACCTAAACTTATTTCAAATAATAATTTAACTTTCAAGACTAGGTAGATACCTACCTACATATTTTAAAACTCAACTTTTCAAAAATAAATGTTAAACAATTGTGTATAATAGTGAAAATAGTAAATCTATAGTCTGTAACAGACAATCTATCTAGCTACTGGCTTCTAATATAATAATATTATATGTAGGTAAAATGTTATTTTCACACTACAGCTATATACATAGAAAATTACAATTGTAGGTACCTATATAAGTACATATTATATTGTTATTGATATAATATATTAATTAATAACATAATATACATAGCTATATTTAGGTAGTAGGTACCTAATATAAACATAAGTAAATTTAAATATATAGTAATATACCTAATACACTTAATACTTATATAGGTAGTAATTAGCTATAGGTTATGAAATATTAAATTCTTACCTGATAATAATCGATCGTTTCACCAAAACTTCAGAAACCGTGAAAATGAAACCGCCTGTATGGTTTCATATAATACTGTAATATTCGTATATTGTAACTACATAGAAAACGAATAAAACGATATGTCGGAACTCGTAAGACGTGTAACGGATTAACAAAATAAATATCGTAGACAAAAGATAATGTAGAATCAGCGTACTGGAGTATGGATTCACGAGTCACGTGTTAGGTAGTACCTAATATAAACATAAGTAAATCTTATATAATAAAACGCTAATAACGCGTATAAGATCCGCGGGGAGCGCTCACGGCACTCCGCGTTTCTTCCATGACGACCAATCACAATACTTCCCGCGCGTTCGCTATAAATTCCGCTCGCTTATCTCCCTTTTCCTTATCGATCCTAATATTTTCGAACATTATTATTATTATTAAAAAAAACCCGTGTTTTTCAATTTTTTGACGTGATAATAACGTCTTATAAATCGATTACCCCGCGACCGTCGGGCGGAGTGGGGGGACCCATTAAACGAGTAATTATTTTTGACCAAGTATAACTTAGCCGGTATTCGACTTAGAGACCCCGTACCAATGGGCATCTCAATTTTTTAGGCCCCAGATGAATTTTCAACATTAGGGAACCAAAGCCCCCACCCCCCCCACATTTTGAGTTGAGTATAACTCGGCCGGAATTCAAGTTAAAGACCTCGGACCAAGGGGGAACCCATTCTTTTTATGAATACTACCGTTTTCCGCTTTAGGGAACGGGGGCACCTCCTCCCCCCTTTTTGGATTTTGCTTTTTTGATGGATTTTGGTCCGGGAGAGTACTAACACCCTCCTCGCCAAGGGGAAACTCGGGGTTTTGAGTTTTTGATAGGATTTATTGGGATTTTCTTAAATATTGTTTTTATTGATAAGGAAAGTGATAAGAATTTTATTTTATCGCCGCGAGCACGGCGACGCGGCTTAAGAGTCATACATTTGCCTCGGAATTTCATCTTAGTAGGTGGCTAGGTTGGTTAGGCGTTAGGATAAGTGACTCGAGGGTCGTGGGTTCGAACCCGGCCTCTGGGATTTTCGATAATTTGCGCCATCCGTGATTATTTGGATGTTTTTTTTTCGAGTTTTTTTTTTCGTCACATTTTTTTTTTTTTTGGCAGAAAAATATTAATTTACATTAAAGTAGATATTTTAAATTGTAACTAAATTGTATAATGATACTGTACTATTTTATAAATAATAATAATAATACTTGATTTTACAGTGACCAACGCACCTATATGTTTCTTATATAAATACAATATAATATAACTAACCTACATGTAGTACCTACTTGATATATTACAGTTTTTAGGTTAAATACTGTTTAATACGGTATTAATAAACTAATAGATCTAATAGAAATGATTAAACTCTGGCAGTTAAAGAAATAGTACGACTATATGACTGCTCTTTTTGCCGTTTTTTTTGAAAATTATAGTTTTAGCCCCTTTCGGTCATATCACCCTCCCCGTCGACTACTTATTCGCGTTCCCCGCTATATTTATAGCCACAGATGAGTCCCGGGGTGGAGTAGTGTGTCGGAAACGAGAGTAGGTACCGTGTAGGTATCGCTATATACAGGCATATATACGCATGTATATACATGCGCCTCGAGGTTCGATTTTTTTCGCAAATCTCGCGTTTTGAACGTCCGAAGGTGGCGGGACACGGTGGTCCGCTCAAACGCCCTTAAGAGTCATAGATTTGACTCCTAATTTCATCTCGGTAGGTGGCTAGGTAGGTTAGGCGTTAAAACGGGTGATTCGACGGTCGTGGTTTCGAACGCCGGCGGGGCCGTGTTAAATCGAATTTCTTTTTTTTGCGTTTTTTTTTCGTCACATTTATCATTTTTAACGAAAGTGTTAATTTTTTTTTAAATTTGCATTATTATATTATATATATTATTATTATTCGTTTGACGATATTTATTGGGAAAAAAAATAATTATAATTAACATTTACCGACGCACCTACATGTTTCTTTTAATAATACATTATAATATAACTAACCTACGTGTAGTACCTACTTGATATATTACAGTTTTTACGTGATTCCGATTTGGTTAAATACTGCTACAGATTATAAATACTATATTAAAAAATAGTGACTGCTTCATTTGCCGTTTTTTTCGAAAATTCGACTCCCGGGGTGTCGGAAACGAGAGTATGTATAGTGTATTCATTTATAGATACCTACGTTTAATAGGATAGTATTACATTTCAATAAACTTTGTTATTCACCAATATAATTATCTATTTGTTAATTTGACTTAATTCTCATAATTAAATAAATATACAAGGTAGGTATATTTTAGAAAATATCCAATCAGAAAATTAGATTTTGTCGACTTATTTGTTATAACCGCGAAAACATAACAATGATTACATTGATTACAGTGAAGCCTAACATAAAACACCTGATAACTGTTCTCTATAATTATCAACAAATACAATTTTATTACCTCCTGTATACTTTTTCATATTTGAACTGCCGTTTCGAGCACTTTTCGCTGTAGGCGGATTGTCCGTTCGGGAATCGGATTTCACCCGAGATGACTGATAACTAGACACTCAAACTCAGAATCCGAATTTCCGATTTCAACACACACACACCAGAACCGGACATACACGCCCGGTGCATGGTCTGCGATCCGACGTAGTCGGATTGCCTACCTGACTAGCTACTTGCATACGAGCGACTTACACCCCCACTGCATCTGACACTCGGGAATCGACTTTCACCCGAGATGACTGATAGCTAGACACTCAAACTCAGAACCTGAATTTCCGATTTCAACACACATACGAGAACCGGACATACACACCCGATGCATGGTCTGCGATCCGACGTAGTCGGATTGCCTACCTGACTAGCTACTTGCATACGAGCGACTTACACCCCCACTGCAACCGACACTCGGGAATCGAGATGACTGATAGCTAGACACTCAAACTCAGAGAACCCGAATTTCCGATTTCAACACACATACGAGAACCGGACATACACGCCCGGTGTATGGTCTGCGATCCGACGTAGTCGGATTGCCTACCTGGCTGGCTGTGTCTTACGATCGACTTGAATCGCGTGACTTACGACTAGACACTCTTCCGAGTTCAAAAATTACCGCTTAACCAGTGCTGCCAACACGACAAAACACAATACCCGACGACCCCCCCTTCCCGACGCAGGCTGGATCAAAAAACCCAGCATCGCCGACAAAGATGCACCACCACCCACACAGTCTTTCCGCCGTAGGCGGGATGACAAACACTGGAATCTAGTTTAAATATAAAACGCTAATAACGCGTATAAGATCCGCGGGGAGCGCTCACGGCACTCCGCGTTTCTTCCATGACGACCAATCACAATACTTCCCGCGCGTTCGCTATAAATTCCGCTCGCTTATCTCCCTTTTCCTTATCGATCCTAATATTTTCGAACATTATTATTATTATTAAAAAAAAACCCGTGTTTTTCAATTTTTTGACGTGATAATAACGTCTTATAAATCGATTACCCCGCGACCGTCCCCCCGACCCATTAAACGAGTAATTATTTTTGACCAAGTATAACTTAGCCGGTATTCGACTTAGAGACCCCGTACCAATGGGCATCTCAATTTTTTAGGTCCCAGATGAATTTTCAACATTAGGGAACCAAAGCCCCCACCCCCCCCACATTTTGAGTTGAGTATAACTCGGCCGGAATTCAAGTTAAAGACCTCGGACCAACGGGGAACCCATTCTTTTTATGAATACTACCGTTTTCCGCTTTAGGGAACGGGGGCACCTCCTCCCCCCCTTTTTGGATTTTGCTTTTTTGATGGATTTTGGTCCGGGAGAGTACTAACACCCACCTCGCCAAGGGGAAACTCGGGGTTTTGAGTTTTTGATAGGATTTATTGGGATTTTCTTAAATATTGTTTTTATTGATAAGGAAAGTGATAAGAATTTAATTTTATCGCCGCGAGCACGGCGACGCGGCTTAAGAGTCATACATTTGCCTCGGAATTTCATCTGAGTCACCTAGGTTGATTAGGCGTTAGGAGAAGTGACTCGAGGGTCGTGGGTTCGAACCCGGTCTCTGGGATTTTCGATAATTTGCGCCATGCGTGATAATTTGGAGGTTTTTTTTTCGAGTTTTTTTTTCGTCACATTTTTTTTTTTTTTGGCAGAAAAATATTAATATATATTAAAGTAGATATTTTAAATTGTAACTAAATTGTATAATGATACTGTACTATTTTATAAATAATAATAATAATACTTGATTTTACCGTGACCAACGCACCTATATGTTTCTTATATAAATACAATATAATATAACTAACCTACATGTAGTACCTACTTGATATATTACAGTTTTTAGGTTAAATACTGTTTAATACGGTATTAATAAACTAATAGATCTAATAGAACTGATTAAACTCTGGCAGTTAAATAGTACGACTATATGACTGCTCTTTTTGCCGTTTTTTTTGAAAATTATAGTTTTAGCCCCTTTCGGTCATATCACCCTCCCCGTCGACTACTTATTCGCGTTCCCTGCTATATTTATAGCCACAGACGAGTCCCGGGGTGGAGTAGTGTGTCGGAAACGAGAGTAGGTACCGTGTAGGTATCGCTATATACAGGCATATATACGCATGTATATACATGCGCCTCGAGGTTCGATTTTTTTCGCAAATCTCGCGTTTTGAACGTCCGAAGGTGGCGGACACGGTGGTCCGCTCAAACGCCCTTAAGAGTCATAGATTTGACTCCTAATTTCATCTCGGTAGGTGGCTAGGTAGGTTAGGCGTTAAAACGGGTGATTCGACGGTCGTGGTTTCGAACGCCGGCGGGGCCGTGTTAAATCGAATTTCTTTTTTTTGCGTTTTTTTTTCGTCACATTTATCATTTTTAACGAAAGTGTTAATTTTTTTTTTTAAATTTGCATTATTATATTATATATATTATTATTATTCGTTTGACGATATTTATTGGGCAAAAAAATAATTATAATTAACATTTACCGACGCACCTACATGTTTCTTTTAATAATACATTATAATATAACTAACTTACGTGTAGTACCTACTTGATATATTACAGTTTTTACGTGATTCCGATTTGGTTAAATACTGCTACAGATTATAAATACTATATTAAAAAATAGTACGACTGTAATATGACTGCTTCATTTGCCGTTTTTTTCGAAAATTCGAGTCCCGGGGTGGAGTAGTGTGCCGGAAACGAGAGTATGTATAGTGTATTCATTTATAGATACCTACGTTTAATAGGATAGTATTACATTTCAATAAAATTTGTTATTCACCAATATAATTATCTATTTGTTAATTTGACTTAATTCTCATAATTAAATAAATATACAAGGTAGGTATATTTTAGAAAATATCCAATCAGAAAATTAGATTTTGTCGACTTATTTGTTATAACCGCGAAAACATAACAATGATTACATTGATTACAGTGAAGCCCAACATAAAACACCTGATAACTGTTCTCTATAATTATCAACAAATACAATTTTATTACCTCCTGTATACTTTTTCATATTTGAACGGCCGTTTCGAGCACTTTTCGCTGTAGGCGGATTGTCCGTTCGGGAATCGGATTTCACCCGAGATGACTGATAACTAGACACTCAAACTCAGAATCCGAATTTCCGATTTCAACACACACACACCAGAACCGGACATACACGCCCGGTGCATGGTCTGCGATCCGACGTAGTCGGATTGCCTACCTGACTAGCTACTTGCATACGAGCGACTTACACCCCCACTGCATCTGACACTCGGGAATCGACTTTCACCCGAGATGACTGATAGCTAGACACTCAAACTCAGAACCTGAATTTCCGATTTCAACACACATACGAGAACCGGACATACACACCCGATGCATGGTCTGCGATCCGACGTAGTCGGATTGCCTACCTGACTAGCTACTTGCATACGAGTGACTTACACCCCCACTGCAACCGACACTCGGGAATCGAGATGACTGATATCTAGACACTCAAACTCAGAGAACCCGAATTTCCGATTTCAACACACATACGAGAACCGGACATACACGCCCGGTGCATGGTCTGCGATCCGACGTAGTCGGATTGCCTACCTGTCTGGCTGTGTCTTACGATCGACTTGAATCGCGTGACTTACGACTAGACACTCTTCCGAGTTCAAAAATTACCACTTAACCAGTGCTGCCAACACGACAAAACACAATACCCGACGACCCCCCCTTCCCGACGCAGGCTGGATCAAAAAACCCAGCATCGCCGACAAAGATGCACCACCGCCCACACAGTCTTTCCGCCGTAGGCGGGATGACAAACACTGGAATCTAGTAGTAATATAATACACTTAATACTTATATAGGTAGTTATTATAGCTATAGGTTATGTTGCGGCTGGTACGCCCGACAATTATTGCTCTAAGGAGATTACCAACAGCTTAGAATATCAAGGAGATGATTTAAGAAAAATCAAAGAATAAAGATATGAGTATAGTAATACGCAAATAATATTTGATAATAATAACACAAATGACGACTTAACCTATGTTAGTAGTATTAACTCAGGCGATCACAAAACGATGCACCATAATAATTACAGCATATATAAAATATTAATTTAACAATAATAATAATATTTATCAAAACAACAATACAATCACGGTACGACCTGATGCTGGTGATATGGCACCGCGGCGGAACAGCTGGTTTATATGACGACGGTGTGATATCACGTATATGTGTGTGTGTGTGTGATGTGATGCTCGAACGGCTGGCTCGCGCTGCGCTTTCGCGGACGGGCGATATTTATAAGACGCAAAGACACTTCATGCATTCGCACTGCGACGAGGGACGGGCGAGAATGCAATGACGAGCGAATTGCGGTCGTGATGCGAGAACTCGGACTGACGACGGTTTCATGCGTACTACGTGCCTACTGACGTGTAGAGCATTTGCGTATAACATGTACGTACGTGCGAGCGAGATTTGGTAAAAAGTAAAAACACAAAAGCACACAGGGCGGCAACGGACGACACGCACTGGTCGTCGCGGCTACTTCACCGGTACTGGAGAAGCGTACGCGGAGTCACCGCCGCCGTGACCGGTCGGCCGACAGATAAGCTTATCGGGCCTTTGGTGGTGGACACGGCGTGCAGGTGCACAACGTTGATTGTGGCGTCAACATACTCCCCCTTTGGAAGACTAAGGCTCTTCCAAAATGTGATCGAGGCGTAAACGAAGATGAATTTTTGAACAAAAATATAATACATATAAGGTAAACAAAATAATTATACAAAATAATTATACAAAATAAAAAAAATACACGAATATCAGTTTAGAGGAGAGGAAAGACCTTTGCTGCGTAGGAATAAAAATTTTTTTTTTTTTTAATTGATTGGAAGACGAGCTAACTTGACCACGGGCCGCTTGAGGGTGCCATCACTGGTACGGAGAGTTACTACCCTCACAACTCCATCTTCGCCGGGATGAACTGCTTCAACCCGTCCCATTTTCCAGAGTGTGGGTGGTAAATTTGGTGCCTGCACTAGCACAAGGTCACCAAGTGTGACATTAGGTTGCGCGTGGTACCATTTCGATCGGACTTGCAATAATCGCAAGTATTCTGAAGACCAACGTTTCCACAAAGATTGGTGAAATTGATCCAACAGCTGCCATCGGTTGAGACGGTTCATCGGAATCTGCGTCATATCGGGGTCAGGCAGCGTGACGAGAGGTGCCCCTGTGAGGAAGTGACCTGGTGTTAACACTTGTAAATCATTCGGATCTGACGAAAGGGGTGTTATTGGTCGTGAGTTCAGTATGGCTTCTATTCGTTGAGTTATAGTGCACATCTCCTCAAATGTTAACAGTTGGGTGCCAATTACTCGTTTCAGGTGGGTTTTCATGGATTTAACAGCTGCCTCCCACAATCCCCCGAAGTGGGGAGCAGCCGGTGGGTTGAAGTGCCACCTACATGGCACAGCATTTGAGACACTGTTTTGTGCTTCAGGATCTGACCACAACCGACGTAATTCAGATGCGGCACCTTGGAAATTGGTACCACAGTCTGAGTATATTTCCAAAGGTATTCCTCGGCGAGCAATAAAACGCTGCAATGACGCAAGGAATGCCGAAGTTGTAAGATCAGAGACCACTTCGATGTGCACCGCTTTCACGGCCATGCAGATGAAGATCGCCACATAACATTTTGTAGAGCGGGCGTTCCGACGTTTGCTTTCTTTGATCAAAAGTGGTCCTGCGTAATCTACACCGACATTAGAAAAGGGTCTCGATGGACATACTCGTGAGGAAGGAAGATCGCCCATTAACGTTTTGACTGTTGACGCTCGATGTCGTGTACAGGTAACACATTTGAAAATAATGTGACGAATAACTGATCGACCTGACACAATCCAAAATTGAGAAGACAACAAGGATGCCACAAGCTGAGGCCCAGCGTGCATACCAGTTATATGATAATATCGGATCAATAGCAACGTTAACGCGCTTGACTTTGGCATTAACACTGGATATTTGAAATCTTCCGGTGCGGTTGAACGGCGCAATCGTCCACCCACGCGTATGATTCCAGACGCGTCAATAAACGGGGTGAGACAAGCTATCGAACGAGGTTTAATTGACGATGACGAAGATGAAATAAGCTTGAGTAACTGTGAAAAGTGGATGCGTTGCGTTATTTGGACTAGCGTCTGTAAAGCATCACGAAGTTCTTCATATCGAAGGAATCCTGTAAACATGGGTGGATGGTCGTCACATTGATGAGTGGGCTTTCGCTGGAGTGACTTGTGACGAGCCTTGATGATGAAACGTCTCATGTAAGCAACAACTCTCTTTAGACGAGTCAATGATGAGAATTTTTCAAGCCATTCGTCGTTTGCTGTTGGTGTAACAATAACGTGCAAAGTCTCTGCCACGGTTTTCTGTTCAGGCAGTTCAGCGACGGGAATTTTTTCATACTGTGGTGATTTCCAAGTATCAGGTGACTGTTGGACGAAAGACGGACCATCCCAGTATAAACTGTGTTCTAATGCCTCAGTAGGAAGCAGGCCACGGGACACACAGTCAGCTGGATTTTGCATTGATGGTACGTATCGCCACTGACCCGAGGGCAGAAGTTCACCTATCTTGTTAAGCCTGTTCGTAACAAATACTTTGAATGTAACTTGCTGAGTTGTTAGCCAAGACAACACCACTGTAGAATCGGTCCATGCATGAATCGAGGATATATGAGTGAATGACGATAATGCATTTTGTACACGATGCAATGTTTGAGCTAATAGCAGTGCCCCACATAATTCCAACCTTGGAATGGAAAGTGACTCGTCCAGACGGTTGTTCTTTAACGGCGCCACCTTTGACCTTGCTGTAAGTAGATGTACTGTGCCCGGTCTTGACGCATACGACAATCGCATGTAAACAACAGCTGCGTATCCCTTTTGTGATGCATCGGAAAAACCTAGTAGTTGAACGTCAGTACACTGTTCAATAGGAATATGTCTCCTGATTTTAACTTGTGAGACCGAAGGTAACTGTCTAGAGAATGAATTCCAGGAAGAAGCTAGTTCGTCGTTGATCGGTTGGTCCCACTCATAAGCGTTTTTCCATAGAATCTGCATGAAGCACTTAGCCCAAAAGGTGATGGGTGATAAGGCTCCGAGTGGGTCATAGATCTTAGCTATCGCGGATAGCACTGAACGTTTCGTAGGTCGAGAGACGCAAGGATCACTATGATAACTGAATATATCATTTGCCGGGTCCCAATGTAACCCCAAAATCTTTATTGAACAATCATCCTTTGGGTCGAATGACAGTTCCACAACTTGATCGTCCTTTGGGATATTTTGCAGAACTCGTGGACAGTTACTTGCCCACTTTTTTAGCTCAAATTGACCTTGACCTAGCAAACCGATGAGCTGTTTCTGCAACGTCATGATCTGTTCGACTGAGGCAGCTCCGGCTATAATGTCGTCGACGTAAGTTTGACTAGATAACACTCCTTGTGCAGCTGGGTATTTTGAACCTTCGTCCAGTTCCAATTGATGCAATACACGGATGGCTTGGAAGGGAGAAGAGGAAACTCCGTAAGTAACTGTCGACAGTGCATACTCCTGTATTGATTCAGCTGGATCGTTGCGCCACAAAATATGCTGGTAAGAGCATTCTGCTGGTGACACCTGTATTTGTCTATACATTTTGCATATATCTGCTGTGAGCATATATTCATGAAAGCGACATCGTAATAATAGATCTGCTATGTCACATTGCAATTTGGGTCCGGTAAATAACAAATTGTTTAATGATGTTCCAGAGGACGTAGTGGCAGACGCGTCAAATACGACTCTTAGTTTAATTTTTCCGTTCGTTCGTTTGGCAACTGCGTGATGTGGAATGATGTAGTTTCCTGGAGTTTGCGCGAGTTTCATGTGGCCAAGTTGTAAATACTCGTTCATAAAAGCTTTATACTCCTCGTATATGATAGGATCAGCTGTTAATTTACGCTCCAAATTATAAAATCTTGATAGTGCCATTGACCGGGATTCACCAAGAGCGGAAGGTTTGGTTTTAAACGGAAACGACACTGAGTACCTCCCCGACGGATCTCTAGTGGTTGTACGGCGGAAAATCTCTTCGCACTTCTGTTCTTCTGTAAACGGATTAGGTAAAACCACAGGCTCCTCAACTTCCCAAAACCGGTTCAGCAATTGTTTAAGTGACGGTTCGGTTGTCAACGACAGTGATACTGGCGATGACAAAGTGCTTGAGGCTGCCGCGGCTCCAACAATAATCCAGCCTAATGTTGTCTCGAAAGCGGAAGGCAACCCTGGAGTATGGCGTACATTATAACCGTCTGTGAAAATGTGGTTGTACACGTCAGCGCCTAGTAAAAATTCAATTTGCCCTGGACGATCGAAATTCGGATCTGCGAGCTCCAGACCCATGTACTGAGTTCGTATGGATAAATCTAACACTTTCGAAGGCATCAACCCAGTAATCTTTGACAATAGAACGGGTTCACAACTTAGCTTTCGATCTAACCTCATGTGTGGAACTATGCTGCACAAGACTACACCTTTTGCCTGGACTACGGGGCTCTGTGACAATCCGACTACATTGATTTTACGATTGCACCGAGTAAGACCAAGTCGTGTTGCACACTTCGTTGTTATAGCAGATATTTGTGATCCACAATCTATTAATGCACGGACTGGTACCCACTGTCCCTGTTGGTTGCACATCCGAATAACAGCTGTGCCTAAAACACTCAAATTGCCGCTGCTAACGGTACCAACGAATGACGTGTCATCGGTGCTTGGTAGATTACCAACGGGGGCTGCCAACGACGATGGAACCGCGGGTGCATGGTTAATTGGATTAGTGCCAGCCTGACGCTTTCGTGATTCGAAGTGCAGTAACGAATGATGTTTTCCGGAACAGGTTCGACACGAATACTTCGAAGGACATGTGGAAGCCGTATGGGAACCACTGAGACAATTTGAACACATGTTATTGGACTTTACCAGCTGAAATCGTGCTGATGTGGTTAGTCCCTTAAACTTCTCACATTTGTATACATAGTGTGTCCCTTGGCACGCATAGCAGTGAGGATCTTGCTCCTTGGTTGCGGCCAATAACGATGATCTTGACATTACAGGCTTTCGGCGCGTGAAAGCTGCAGGTTTTCTTTCAGCGTCTGACATCGAACTATTTTGTAGGATTTTGCACCGAGATTGTATGAATATTAATAAATCATTGAGAGTGGGAAGATGATGTGCGCCCTGATCAGCCTCGAAGAGACGCTTCGTCGAACTATCCAGAACGCGCGACGCTATATAAAATAATAGAAAACCGGACAGATCATGCACACCTAGAGCGTTGATCGCTGCTGTGTTCTCTTTGAATACATCTAAAAAGTTATTTAGGTAATTTAGCGATTCTTTTTGTATGGGAGAAAATCCGAATAACTTGTCCAAGTGCGCGTGAAGTATAAGACGCGTACTGTCAAATCGATCATGCAATGCGTTCCAGGCAATTTCATAATTGGGACCAGTAAGAGGGACTGAACGTACCACAGACCACAGTACTCGCAGCTCCAGAGACGGAAGCAATTAAATAGTGAAATCGCTCAACACTGTTAAGATCTGGATTTTCGTGGACAAGCGATGTGAATGTGTCACGATAAGACCGCCAATTAAGTATGTCACCATTAAAATGCGGTAACTTAATTTTTGGTAAATTAATGTGAGAACCTGATCTGGTTACCGTATCCAATTTACAACAGGCCACTGCACCCGCCACGGCTTGTATAGAATAGTATTGTTCGGTGACAACAGTTTCAATGATACTATGTTCACTTATGAAGTCCTCAATCCGCCCTAGTTCTACCATTTGATCCATAACGTCATCCTGGTCGAGGCGAAAATCTGACATGAGTGCTTCCAAATCCCGTTTACGCGCATTGAACATAGGTAATGATGACGGATCAGACTCAACTGTCTTCGATAAGTTGAACAAGATTAACATCTGATTAACATGCTTATCTCGTTTAACAATAGCGCGCTGTAAGGATCTCTCAACACGTTCCTTTTCTTGTTGATCTGTTGGCGCCATCGCGAAATATTAATACCGTATAATAAAAACAACAACGTTAATATGACGTATTTAGATGGCCAAC